GCCGGAACGTTGACTTGATGTTAGCAGGGGGTTCAGCCAAGTCCTAAACATAGATCTCATGTTCAGCACTATCCCCCTCAAAATCAGAAGGACCAAGGTGACCTCGATGACAGGAGAAAGATCTCAGGCTCAGTATTTCCTAACCAGGGACTGCCGGTCCACCCCCCCGCGCCCCAGCCCTGTGGCCATGTCCTCTCAATGACTGGGGTTATTCTGAGTCTGGAAAGAGGTCTACCTTGCCTAGTTTGATGACTTCCAAGCTTCTGAAAGACCAGAGATTTTCGAGTTTTTATGTCATGTCACTCACTTGTGGGAAGGGAAGTAAATTCCCTACAGGGTCAAGTTCAAGAAGGCCCAGGGCAGAGAACACTAGACACCTGTCAAACTGGCACTCAGGCCTCAGCAACTTCCCCTTGCTCCTCACCCTCCCACCACACGGCACTTCTCGGTGCTCCCAGAGCAAGCAGGGTTTCTCCACGTGCTAACTCCTTCCACCCGTCCTTGTGGGGCGGGGGCACAGTCTCCTTCCTGGCTTACCCGGAACCTCCCCCAGCTACCGGGCCGCTCGGACCTTCCCCGGGATGTCACTGCTCCCCCTGCCTCAGAAGAATTTGCACTTAGGTCTTTACAACAAAGACCTATTCTATAAAAATTTAAAAGGTTTCTCTCCCTGATATTTCCTTGTTTGCTTTAGCTCTGGCATTGCATTTGCAACCAAGTACATACTTTATGCAACTACTGTATACATGTGTATACTGAGTGAATGAATGAATGAATGGATGGATGGATGAATGGAGGAGGGAAAGAAGGAAGGAGGGAAGGAAGGAAGGGAGGAAGGAAGGACATAGGAAACATGATCTTCTCAGAATGAGGCTTCCAAGAGGAACTAAATTTGTGTTTAGAACTTCAAGGGAAACAATTCGTATCTGATACACCGAGCGGGTGATATGCGCCTGGCTGAGAGGAGCCGGCCTCCCTAACCTGCTATTAAAGGATTGCCTACAGACTGTTCTGTAGATCTTCTGTTGACTGTAAACAGTCAACCCAGGTAAGGAAAATCCCTCTGCAGAGTTCTGCTGGCTCAACTCAACACCAAACAAAACTGACAGAACACAGCTAGTTCTGTCTTCAGTAGGACTAGTTAATGCCATTAGAAATTAAGATAAAAAGACAAAATCCTGTCTTTATGGACTAATAATTGAAACCTGCTTCACAAGACCACCCATAGTTGCAGAGAAAGTGGTTTTTAAAATTCATGTCTTCTGGAGAGGCTAATTTGAAAGCAGCCATTAATCACACTAATTCAAATGCCCCTGCTGGTTTATGGGCAGACCGGACCCTGATCTGCTTGATCTCTACAGGAGAGACCCCGTGACCTTCCTCTGGCAGAAATGTGACATTACCACCATTACTGTGAGCTGTTGACTTGATTCTAATTACGTGACTAGAATCACATACCAGGTCATACTGAAATTTCTTAGATATTATAGAAGATTTTGGAAATTCTCAGCCTGTTGTTCAGTTTCAAGATGACTGATAAATTTAAGCTGCATGTACATAGCTTATAGGGTGTCAAATAGCTCTTAAGAAAATCAGACAAAACCTCCTCAAGGTAAAATGGGACAAATAGACAAATTGAGAATGACAAGAAGCCAACTGCAAAGAGACCTTCATGATAGTGGTAATAATGAAAATAAGTTGTTTATGTGACTATAGAGTACTGCAGCCCTCCTGTTAGAACCTCGCGAGCTTTGAGTTACTTTTCTCAGAGAGTGGATGGTACCCACAAGCCCAACCAGACTGCATGCACACGGGAAAAGGGTACTTGAGCCAAGGAGCTGGGGTGTGGGCGGAGGTGTGGAAGGGGCAAAGAAGCTAATGTCCTCCCCTTCAGGGAATCCACAGTGTCATTTAACACCACAGATGAACCAGCTGAGAGAATATGGTGTCACTTTAAAATAACCCAATTTTTTTTTCCAGGAAGTTTAAAGTCCTCTCTCAAAATCTAATAATAGCATTAAAAGCCTTACTGAAGGGAAGGCAGGTCAGAAGCTGGGAAGGAAAGAAGAAACTCGTGCAGTGACCGGTGCTATTCTGTGGGAGTTAGTCCTCTCCTCTGCAGAACCCCCTACTGACCTCCGGAAAGAATGAATATCAAACCTCCCCTTCCTTTCGTTCTCTCCCTCTTTATGTCATAAAATGAAGGAGGAAAAAGAAGAGATCATAATAAAATCTTGATGCCAAAGCTTCTCAAATAACTCACAGCATTCTTCAGTAGCTTGACACGTCTGAGAAATACAACCAGCTCACCGGGAAGGATTTCAAATCCCCCTCATAACATTTGAAGGGCCAGAAGGGTTAAACTGGAAGGATCAGAACTTAGCAAGGCCCCCATATGGAGAGCAAGAGAGGAAAGCAAATCCATTTTCTCATCACCAATCATTTTTGTAGTGGATATGTCAATACGAATACCAGGTAACAATTTTATTCACATATGAAAAAGGGCATTACAAAACTATTTGTATAAGAGAATGAAAATTTACAAATTTATAAATTCCAGTATGCAAAATAGTAATGATGACATCTAAATCGATTCAAGCTGGCGACCTTCAAGCAATGATGGACTTTTTTCATTTTCTTTTCAACATTTTTTTTTTACCCCTAGCACAGACAATAGAGCTTAACTAGGTAATAGCAACTTAATGTTTTATCTAAAGTAGAAAACTCTATATTTGAAAAACATATTCCATATACACAAAATGAGAAAACCCATGCCTTTACATGGTTGTTCCCCAAATCCTTGTCTCATTCTTGTTGGTGGGTTTCTGCAACATTCGAAGTCACCCCGATTCTCACTCCCAGACCCGATGACGATTTCCTGGTACCCGTACCCTAGCGGCCGAGTTCCTGCAAGTGCAGGACTCGGGAAATGCAGACTGGGCTTTCCCTCTCAAGTGTTTACACAGAGTATAGAATCTAAAATTATTGTATGTTTCTGCAGCGGGAGGTGGTAAAATGTCTTCATCTTGGTAAAACAGCCCCAGGATTTTTCAGATGCAGTATCAAATGAAATCGACTTTCAACCTAAGCATTTCCTTACTGATCCAAAGTGATGATTCAGGGTTTGGGGCCACAGTCTCATGCCCATCCATCTAGCTTTCTCCAGCAAGTATTTGTCTTTGAAGTCGAGGAGGGTTTCTACATGTGGAAAATATATTCAGGTCACCAGAAGGAACACAACCCTGGCCGACTTTGATCATCCCTCTGTCAAAACAAAACGATCAGATTGCAAACAATGGCACACATATGTGAATTACAGTGAAGCCACTCGAGGAAACTCTAGCGTGCATTTTCATAGACATCTTGTGGTCAAATCCTAAATATTTTACATGACTTTCCTAAAGGCAACTCTCATAAGAGCTGGTGAGTTATCAAAGTTTAAAAACCATTGGTTAATGTTAAGAAAGGAAAAGAAAAGAGGGCACTAGACAGACATAAAAGATTGTGGGTCACCCTGAGACTACTCTAATTTCTTATTTTGGTTCAATGAACTGAGGTCCCGAGAAGAACAGAGCCCAGGCAAGCTAATCCATACATATTAGAGCCTAAGACTACGGGGAGAGAAACTGGCCCAGCCATGAGGAAGAGGGCTCATTAGATTTTCCTCATGTCTTACAGAGAGAGAAAAGCATGGTCTAGCAAGTGAGAAGAAAAAAAAATGTCCTAAGAAAGACAGAGTTTTTGCATGTTCCGTTTAATATTAGGTAAAAGACACTGATCAGGGCGGGGGGGCGGGGGTTGACTGTGAAACCAAGTATTTTAGTGCACTCAAACACAGTCATGTTTGACTTCTTTAAGTGCAAATGTGACTCAGCTAATAGTAATCAGTTAAAAGACAAAGGCCAGAGCTGATCATGTAGGTTCAAGGAGGAAACAGATAAATCCTACTCAAGTAATTCCTCTCCAGGGCATAAAGATTAAAAGCAAATGAACCATCCCCCGGTTTGTGACTGAACTGGGTTCATTTCTGTCTTAGCCATAGAGAAAATTCTAGTGTGTAAATACCAGGGATGGGGCGCCTGACACCACACTTAAATCCAGCATCACTGGCTAAGGTAGGAGATTACTGTGCTAACAAAATGTGCACGGTCGGAGGGCTACTTGGTCAGACTCCATGAGGACCCTGAGGAACTGTTCACCTATAGGCCACTTACAAATTGGGCTTTTTCTTCTCCTTCTAGTATGTAGTGTAGTCTCCTAAGATGACATACGTGGTGTTACATGTCAGTAGTAGGGGAACGAGATAGGCGGTAATTTCTAAAGCCCTTAGTATAAGATACAATGCAAAAAAGCAAAAACAAAAACAAACTCACAGGTAGAGAGAGCAGGTTGGTGGTTGTCAGAGGCAGGAGGTGGGGGCAGGGTGGAGGAAAAGAAACCATTATCTTTATAAATTATCACTCTTCTATAAGAGAGGAATTCTGGATCTTCTAAGCTCAATCACCGGGACAGAAGTAACAAATGCTTCCATATCAACTGATTTTCACAGAAATATGTTACTCATTGTATACAAGTCTCTAGGATACGTGTGCTAAGTGGTTTTTCATGCAGGGCGGTGGGCACTCTTTCCCCACCACTTCCCCAACTCAGGCCCCTCCCCCCCGCTAGGTCCAGCAGGGGTTCAGTGGCGAAGGCTACAAGTGTTGATTCTGGAAAAGACTTGCTCTCTTCTGATTCCTAGTTAGGCTAGTTAACTTCATCTAACAAACCCCTGATTTAGGCAGGCAGTATGAAGTCTATTCTAACCTCCTAAGCTAATTAGATGATGAAAAAGTGAGCTTCATCAAATAGAAACAGTCATTTTTGAACCACTCTACATAAAAACTAAGGTAACTAATCTGACACTGACTTTTAGTAGGATAATCAGCTATACGAAATTATTTCTGGAAACAAAGTGTAAATGAAAACTTATACTCTGGGTCTTCAGTCTGGTAAAACCACACTCGCCACGAAAATAAGCATGAATGCATTTCTGTTTCTTGTTACATGCTCATCATCTCGTAGGCTGCGAACTCGAGCCATCAGCCTTTGAAGTTACGCTTGTGGCATGGAAGCTTCTTGTTTAGGAAAGATGCAGAGTATAATGAGTGCCTGGAGTCTTTTCTTGTTTTGCCTTGAGGTTTCAGCTTACAGCTGGTCTGGCTCAGATGCAACTGGTTGAAAGGCTTAAAATGCCATCAGTTTGGTTCAGATTTATTTTTTTTCCTCCAGAAGCCACGCAGGGTCCAGACTGTGCTCAGTCCATAAGCCTAAGCGGAGGGGTGAGTGCCCGCTGGGTTCCATCCATATTCTTCTACTGCAGAAAGAAGCAAGTCCTTTAAGCTTCCTAAAACAGCAACAGAAAGGAAAGCTTGAAAAACAATACCTTACAAATGAAAGCTGCTGAGCTATCATTGTTACAAATTATTGTAAATAACTTTTACTAGTAGTACACATGACTTCAATAACATATGGACCAGCAGCTCATTAACGGTGTTTGAATATCCAGGTACATATGTACTCTGAGAATAAAATAAAGATTTTACAACAACTCACAGTCACTCAGTATTTCCAAATAACACTGCAGAGACGATAATGTGACCCATAGGAAACAAAATGTATTAACAAACAATTCTTTTGCTCATTTTTTACCCCAAACATTTAAAGCTTGTTTCTATGTTGCACTCTTTTGAAGCATTTGTAGGTAAAGATGTTAGGATCCTTTTAGTCTCTTCTTTGAAAGAACAAAGACGATTCATAAATAGTGACACTCTCATTCTTTGCATTTAAAACTTCTGCTGACCCACTGGAGAAAGTTTAGAGGTGGTTTGGAAATGATTTCTCTTTTAATGATCTTCCTGGAAGGCTCACATTCTTCCTAGGGCAAATATCCTCAGCAAAGTGGTGTAGATCTGTCCCTTATCACAGAAGGGCAGCAACCTGACATCTGGAGGCATCAGCCAAAGGCACGTTACTGCAAGTGAATAGAACGTTCATTTTATGCAGTAAGCTTTCATTCATTGGTGACATATCAGGTAAGTTTACAGGAAAAGATTTTTTTTTTCCCCTAGGTCAAAGGAGAGAATCTAGAAATAGAAGATTCTGAAAGAACTCTCAATAATCTGAGCTAGTTTCATCAAGTATGTTGACAAATTGGTATGACCGTAATAACCTCATTAACGCTACTGTGGGAGACAAATGATACTCATTTTGCCAACATGGAAAAAGAAAGAGATATTTTCAAAGACTGAGCAACTAGAATCCAGATCATCTCATACCTTTTCTACCATTCCTTCTATTATTTCATGTTGACATTTCCAATGATGGCTAAAAACATCACCAAAAAGAGCTTTTCCTGTAAGTAAACAGGCTGGTCTCATTCTCCCAAGTACCTTAGGAAATGATGTCCCAAATATCTTTGTTCTGTTCCTTTCTGGGGAGGTGTGTATAGGGAAAATATGATTAGAACTGAGTCATTCAGACTAAAGAAGGTTCTCCCACCTATTTGCTTTATCCTGCACCAGAACTATCATCATCAGATTCTGGGTGGTCTTAAACCACCCCCAAGAAAACTGCTGTGTAAAAATACAGTTTTTGGAAACAAATGCATCATGCATTAGCAATCTGACCCTGTAAGACAAAAGTGCCATTGTGCATTTTGCAATACAGATGCGTATCAAATCATCACATTGTACACCTTAGCTCACACAATGGCAAATGTCAATTATATCTCAATAAAGCTGGATAAAAGGAGGGAATTGAGGTTAAAAAACCTGAAAACATGAGTGAATGCCTAGGTAGGAATTTCAAGTTCCATTGAAAATAAATAAAAAGTAATCACTAAAACGGGGGGGGCACTATAATGGCTCTAGCTGCCCTTATGCATTTCTCAAACAGAAATTCTGTGCTTTCCTGAATTATGAATGAGCCCATGGACCAAGCTAACTAAACACAAACTCAAGGAACTGAAAGTCCTTTCGTTCCTAATACCAAGCTGCTGAAAGGAAATTCTTTATGAGAAGTATGTTCCCTACCTTGTAGAATCAGCATGTTAAGAGGAAGTCTGAATTGCCTTTTGGAATCTAATGGATTGAAAATAAAATAGAACTGTTGAGCTAAATACTTGGCCGGCTCTTGAAACAAAGAAGAGGGTCAATCTCCCAAAGATGTACAGTTGTGTCTTTCCTATCTGCCTTCGAAGATTAAGGTTCACTCACTAAATATTACACACTCAGTAAATGCAACCAAAGACAAAGGGTTTTTCAGAACCTGGATAAGATTATCTCTTAAAATGGGTTCAAAATACTATTTGTTGTTTTTAATTATAGGGGGAAAACTGAAACGATTCACTTTTTAAAAATTCCTTTCCTGAATTCAGAATGCCTCATTTATATTTACCAAAGTATCTAATAATTATAAGACAACACATCTTAGAAGGCTAATAAACCTTTCACTAATAAATTATATTGTGTATCTTGAAGGTAACATTTTCTCATTCATTTTACATGTAACTTTCTTGTCATAATAATCTGAGTTGAAAGTATCTTTATGTAGATCATGATTACCTTGACAATTGTCTTTGAAAAGAAGTTAATGCCATTATATACACCAATCTTCTACACTAAATGATTTTACATTCATATGGCTGTAATAATAATGCTTACTCCTACCCCCACCTCACCAACAACACAAACAGAAAAAGGTAGAGAATGAGTTGGTTTTGCTATGACCTGAAATCGAGATGTTTCACTCCTTAGTCGTAGAATTTACATCACGAAACTGGGGACGAGCTACACAATTAAGATGAGTGGTGATTTTATTTGCTGACAGTACTCTGAAAAACTGTAGATAGTCACTGGGAACACAATTCTAGCTACTCAGACTTGCCCCTAACAACATTTGTGAAGGTAAAGTAAGTTTATGATCAAAACCAATTGACTTGATATCAAAGAAACTTCAGCATCTTGTAATGAAATTGTGACTCAGATTTAATTTTAAGAGTCTCCCAAGACTTGTATTTTAGAGTACTTGGCAAGGCATCTGACTGGGGAGGTGGGCTTAGCTCCTGAAGGGGCAGGATCTCTCTGCCTCTCTCCCCGACTCTCAGGGCCTGTCACCTCCTCCTCAGGGCAGCACACATGCTCAGCCCCCACGGCTTGTGGGCCATAGTCCGTTCATTCTTAGGCCTACTCGCAACTCCGCTAACTCTTGCCTTTTCTTACTGTTATCATGAAGTTATACAAATTATGGGATGGCTCAGAAGAACAAGGTCAGTAAAGACTCTTTCTCCACTACAAAGGTATGTATTTTACATTTTTTTATTTTATTTTTTAAAAGATTTTATTTACTTATTTGAGAGAGAGAGCTCGAGAGAGAGAACACAAGCGGGGGGGGGAGGGGCAGAGACAGAGGGAGAAGCAGACTCCCCGCTGAGCAGGGAGCCCAACTTGACTTGGGGCTGGATTCCAGGACCCTGAGATCATGACCTGAGCAGAAGGCAGACACTTAACCGAATGAGCCACCCAGGCGCACCAGTATTTTACACTTTTTTTTAAGATTTTATTTATTTATTTGAGAGAGAGAGAGCACATGAGAGGGGGGAGGGTCAGAGGGAGAAGCAGACCCCCTGCTGAGCAGGGAGCCCGATGCAGGACTTGATCCCGGGACTCCAGGATCATGACCTGAGCCGATGGCAGTCGCTTAACCAACTGAGCCACCCAGGCGCCCCAGTATTTTACATTTTAAATGCCTAATTTGTTTGCTTTTCTTCCCTTAGCTCTTCTTCATTTCCTTTATTTTGAGAAAAACAAAATTATTTTTCTCCAAAGCCAACAAATGCTTTCTGCATAGAACTCCCTATAAATTCTCTATGGAATTTGTAGTTCAGAGAAAAAGTATTGCAGATTTAGATCAACATATAACCTATGTGCTATTCTTGAAAGGAACACATCTCCATTCACACTCTGACTTCCGACTGTGTCTAACATCATGAGACCAGGATACATGACTTCGTGGAAATGGAGGCCCCTCTCGAGAGCAGACACAGAATGTGCCAGAATGCTTCCCCAGGACCTGGGGCCCCTGAGCTGGCTGCCCATGAGCAGTGAGAGCAAGGGGGGTGTGCAGGCAGGACCTCATGGCGCCTGGGAGCCTCACTCTTGCTGTGACTTGGCCCTTTTATACTAAAGGCTGGCATCATTTTTTTCCCCAAGAGAATGTATTCCAACAGTATATGTGCTTATATTAGGGAAATGCTTGTAGACATTAAGTCAAATTCAGGAACGGCCACATCCTCGCCGGAAGGGGAAAGCAGGGATGGTGCCCAGGTTTCCCTGACGCTTCTCTGCCTCTAGCCTTGCAGCCTGCCTGAAAGCCCCAGCTCCCTGTAGTCACCATCTCCTTGCAAACCTGATTTTAAACCTTCTTTCTAGAAAGTTCTTCTGCAGTATTTGGACCTGGATCACAACCGACAATCAATTTCTAGCCAAACTGATCAGTCAAAGCAGAGCAATCTCGAAAAAACAGGAGAGATCTAAATTGCCATTAACTTGATGGTGAATGAAGTGCATTTAAGTATTGGGCAGAAAACATCACAGGGTAAATGAAGGTGAGGAACTGTTTACACAAGATGCTCCCTTGACTCTCTCAATCAGGAACGGAGCTGGAGGTGCTGTGCTAAGTACTTGGATTTGCAAGGAGTAAAAGAATGCAGCTGCTCATTATGACCTTACAGAGTAACCGTTAGTTAACAACAACAACAAAAAAAGACTCTTGATTAATTTAAAATATATTCTCCATACATATAAGAGCAAGAAGTTATGAAAGATGGAAAAGCCTTCTCATCGGGTCTCCCCACGTTCTATGGTGAGCCGAGTTCCCATCCCCTGGGTCTGGCATGAGTCAATGCCATGTCCTTCTCAAGGCTAGTCACTGCCTTACCTGAAGGGACGTCTGTGTGGTCAGGCTGACGATATCGCCACTCTCCTGACGCAGCTGGCTTCTGGTCGTCAGCATATCCTGAGTCAGCACTGGCTCTGTCAGTGAGTGGTTACATCTAGAGGGCTCAGTAGTTTCTGTAAAGTTCTCAGAATGAATTGGAACAGCTCCACCAACCAAATGCTGACTACTGTTTGAATCCAAGGAGGACGAGCTTTCGTTTTCTGGGTTGAGAGAATGAGTATCTCCTCCAGAGAGTTCGGGATAAGAGTCACAAAGAGAGATGTCGTCACCACACATGGGATTTTGCATCAGAGGCCAGGCGTCTGAAAACTCACCACAGATGGACCTCGGAAGGGACCCGAAGAATGTGGGCACCATCTCCCCCACTGGACCTGTGTGTCTGAACACACATTCAAAAGCTGTTCAAGTCATCTACGGGGAGGAAAAACACCACTACAAAGCAACACCCAGCTCTGCTTTTAAGTTTTCTAGATGAAAGAGCAATTGATTATATTAGAATTCTAGTGCTTCCTTTGTTAGAAACTTGCTTCCATACAGTAAGTTTAATTATTCCACTTACTTTCAAACTGAATTTGTGTACATACTTCTAACCAGTATAGTTATACTTAACCCAATGTCTAAAACAGGCAGTTTCCTGGGTCTTAACTGAGTTTCTTGATGGCTATTCTAAAATTCTAGAAGTAAATGACATGTTACAAATTACCGACGCATGACGGAAGTGTCACAAATCATGAATATGAGACAAAAACAAAATTAATAGAGTGTAAAGTATAAAGAATGTCGCACTGGATATCAGTAACCCCGAGAGACTCATGTACATCTTGCCAAGGATTTGTCCCCCTCCAATGTCCGGAATGTCATCAGTAATATTTTTTAAATGATGTCTCATAGTTTGACATGAAAACTGGTAAACCAGTAGAATGCATATTTGCACAAGGGAATATGACATTTTATGGATTAAAAATCCCACGTTACCTCTCCTGAAGTGTGGCCTTGGAATGCACCCTACAGCCAAGAGTCACCCGGTCCACGCTGCAGGCCTCGTCACAGCACAGAGATGGAATCAAGTGAACAGGCCCTAGGGAAGCCAGCAGAGGTGTGAAGCACAAGGTTGTCTCCTGGGAACTTTCTCTTCAATACTGGCTCAACACTGCTGGAGAAAATTCAGCTATTCCCCTTCGGGTGACTTTTGGGGGAAAGGAAACATGAGGTTTAATTCTCTCTCTTTTTTGTTAACTTACAATAATGATGCAGTGCTTATCTGAAGAACCTAGAGTAGTCAAACCCATAGAGACTGAAAGCAGAATGGTGGGTGCCAGGGGCTAACGTGGGTTGTGGGGGGGTGGCGGCGCTCTTTACTGGGGACAGAGTCTCCGTTTAGGAAGATGAAGTGTTCTGCAGATGGGGGGTGGGTGACGGCGGCACACTGGTGTGAACGGGCTCAGTGCCACTGAACTGCACACCGAAGCAGTGTTAAAATGACAAATTTTATGTGGTGTATATTTTACCTCAATAAAAATCATAATGAAAGGTAACAGCACAGCCTGAGAGTGTGTGAGAGTATGTGAGAGAGAGTGTGTGAGAGTGTGTGTGTTTGAGAGTGTGTGTGAGAGTGAGTGTGAGTGTAAGAGAGAGAGTGTGAGAAAGTGTGTGACTGTGTGAGAGTATGTGAGTGTGTGAGAGTGTGTGAGAGTGTGTGAGTGTGTGTGAGTGTGTGTTTGCGTATTGTGTGAGAGTGAGTATGTGAGAGTGAGTGAGTGTGAGACAGAGTGTGTGAGTGTGAGAGAGTGTGTGAGAGGGTGTGAGAGAGTGTGAAATCAGACTCCCCTGTCCTGTGAGGGGACGGTAGAAATAGGAGCTCCATCCAGCCGCGTGGGCTATCGGTACAGAACAGGAAGAGACACACGTTCGACCCTTTAACTCCACACACACACACACCTCACACACACACCACACACACACCCCCACACCACACACACACCTCACACACACCCCACCAAACACACACACAACTCACACCCCCCACACCACACACACCTCACAAACACACCCCCCACACACCCCCACACACACCTCACACACACCCCCACCCCACACACACACTTCACACACACACACCCCACACACCTTACACACCCCCACACACCACACACATACCTCACACCCCCCCCACACACCCCACACACCCCACACACCTCGCATACACAAACCACACACACACCACACACACACCACACACACCTCACACACACACCCCCACACCCCACACACACCACACACACACACCCCACACACACCCCACACACACCCCCCCCACACACACCGCACACCGCACACCTCACATACACACACCACACACCCCCACACACAGCACACACCCCACACACCCCACACACACACCACACATACACACACCACACATACACACACACCACACACATCACACACACCTCACACACCACACACACACCTCACACCCCCCACACACCACACACCCCCCCACACCACACATACACACACCACACACACACCCCCACACACACCTCACACACATCCCACACAGCCCCACACACACACCTCACATACACACCCCCACACACCCCACACACACATGTACACACACCACACACACACCACACATACACACAGCACACACACCACACACACCTCACACACACCCCACACACACACCACACACACCACACACGCACCACACTTACCACGCACACACAGAGTTACTACTGTTTTCCTGCCAGGAATGGAACATAAGGAATAACTAGAGGTGTGCACACATATTTACAAACCATTGTGTTCATTGAGGCAGCATCAATTTTCGGTTACAAAAATAACACAAGGGTACTGAAGAAAAAAATTTTTAAAAGAGAGGGATTAAGATAAGAAATTTAAAAATAAATATTACCCAACCCTATAAACTGGAAATGAACGCTGTCAACATTTGGTGAACTCTCTACATACATACATATATAATTCTGATTCTATACATACACACACTAAAGCATACAAAGATAAAGACACACATCTAGAGAGAGAAAAAGATGTGAAAAAATTGTATATTTACATATACATGTATGTTTGTGTATCCAGAGTTTGCATGAGAAATGATCTCCTCACTCTTATAAAAGGAAAAAATATGGTGAAATTTTCCTTTTTAAAAATGAGTGTTAAACATTGACATGCAATTGCCAACCAGGACAGATACCCGCACACCTTCGCCCAGATCTCTCTCAGCGCAGGGCCCACGTTGTACTCGCTGTGTGAATATACGCTGCCGTGAGCTCGGATCCACGGCCAATCAACTCGGCGAGCCCATGTCAAGATGTTTCGAAATTATTTCAAAGCAAAAGACACTGCTTTTCCTTTTAGAAATGGCTGGTTCTAGGGCTCAAGCAGCCAAAGTGCAAGATGAGTCTGGAACTTTTTTTGTGTGCCAGAGATGAAGAAAGTGCTAAAGAATAATCAGGACATTTCAAAATGACACATGAGCCAACGTGAAGGGACCTGAACTGGCCCAACCTAGGAAAACATGAGCACCAAGATAAATGATGATGGCAAAGGAGTAGAGGCTGTGGAAAAGGGTCCATGAGTCTGCACTAATTCAAGTAAATAAATAAATGGGGAAGAAGTTCTTTCTTACTGTAGGAAGCCAACTAATAAATGTGGAGAAAATGATGGAATTACAAAACAAGCATTTGTAACCATCGTAGTAATGACTAATTCAGAGGATACGAAACTCTTGGGCGAAAGTTTGGAGAGTAACAGGATATTTACACAGTCTCAAAGAGTCTTCTGCAAAATATTTATTAATTACAAAGAGAACAACAATCATGTTACAGCAGAGAAACCTGGCAGGTGCCACCTTAACGAAAGGACCCAAATTGACCTGACCAGGAAAGGGACAGCTGTACACGCTGTGCCTCCTCATGTGGGACACTGGGAAGGACACAGCATCACCCCTGCAGGATTTCTGTTTCTAGTCATATAGAAACATCAGACAAACCCAAACTGAGGGTCATTCTACAAAATTACTGGCCTGTGCCTGTCAACAATAATCATGTCACGAAACACAAAGAAAGATTAAGGACCTGTGCCAGATAAAAATAAGGTAGAGATTTGACAACTAAATGCAACAGTGTTATCCGGGATTTTCTTTCACTATAAATTTTGGGACAATTCAGAAAACCTGAATGTGCTCTGTAGATTACACAATAAGCTTTGATTTAATGCTGATTTTCTGATTTTAATAACTGTGCTGTCCTGTAAGAGGATGTTCTTGTTCTTAGGAAACAAACACCGTAGTATTAAGGGGTAAAGAGATATCATCTCTGCAACTGATTTTTAAGTGGAAATGAAAAAACGTGTATAAATACATATATCTCTACCGTACTTAGAAAAATGATAAAGCAGATGTGGAAATGAGATAAAATGTTAATTTGGGGGGATCTGGGTGAAGAGGGTGTGAGAATTCTTTGTGCTATTCTGTCAACATTTTTGTAAGTCTTAAATGATGTCAAAGTAAAAAGCTCGAAGAACAAAGGCACTGCCATGAAGTAGGAAACCACGTAAGTGGTAAGCTATATGGAACCTGGGCAGTAGCGGGCGAATTCTTTCCAGGCTCAGTGTGCTGTTCTGTTAAGGGGACATGCACCAAGGCCATCTGCCCATTTAAGCCTTCTTTTCAGACAGAAGTTAAGAGGAGGCAGATTTTGCCCAATGCTGCATTTTACTACATCCGAGTTCATGTCTCAGGAAATGATTCCTGCTCCCTCTGACCCTAGTGTACCAGTTCAGGGTCTGGGAACCCCAGTGTTGGGGGTGTTTTGAGGATCACTCAGTTATTGTCCATACTGTCTAGAAGTCTATTCCCTACGTAGGCAAAGGCAAAAATAGATCCACACACACCACAGAAGGTCCTATATTTTGTTCCCAACCCATTCCTAAAACAGAAGACAGTAACGAGCAGTAGCAAAATCAGTCTGCTGAAAATTTCTTACTCCACATATGGAACGTCAGATCAGAAAACGAAATCCTGTAATTTCTTGGTAGGAAAGACTGCACCGTTCCAGGAGTGTCAGTCAATCTAAGTGGGAAACACTCAGCTTAAAGAGTGGCTCCAAAGAGACAAAATGGTGCTGTGAGCATTGCTTCAAAGGTGCTCTGAGAACGTGAAGCCAGGCGGGCAGGGGCTGTCTAGAAAGGGCACTGCCATCCAATTTTGCTCTGCAGAGTGGGGCCCGAGAGGGAAGTATAAGTGTGGGAGCCTTGTGTTGAGGAATACAAATAAGTGGCAGAGAAAGTAGTATTATCTTTGCCTGTTTTTTGCCCTGGTGAGAAACCAATTTCCATTTGCATGACTTCCCTAAACTTCCTTTTCTGTGAGTAGTCCCCGGGGCAATTGAAGTTGGTGGAAACCCCTGCCATAGTTCTCCCTCCTGCTCTTCTTTAAGAAACCCCAAAAGACATTAAGAAGACCCATCAAAGTTCAGCCTGAATCCACCGGACAAGACAGGAAACACGCTCCTACTCTACAAAAGGATGATCTTATTTTCAATCAGTGGACCCAAAACAATAAAGGCAAACTTGCTTTAAAAAGTTGCTGACAATTCTAGAATTTTAATGAGATGCTTCTTTTCTTTTTAATACTTAAGAGGCTCAAAACACCCAAACCATCAGGGGACACAGAATCATTTAACAAGATCAGCTTTAACTAGAAAACCAAGCAGAGCAACCGAGCTGTGGGGCGAACAGGGACAATTCTTGGCAGTGTCCGTGTCCCTGGGATTCCCCTAATGGCCCCTTCCCGGGCTGCACTTACCACAGGTCTGGGCTGAGTCCTGATGGTACTGACAACATGCTCTGGGAGCAGATTCATTGAGCTGAGGTCTGTCAAAACATGACAGTTCAGAACCGTTGTACTGAATGTCTTGTGCTCTCAGAGACCCTACAAGGGGCGAGAATTCTGTCAGTGAAGACCATTGCCTCTATAAACCATATAAACCAACATAACACAGACAGGTACCCTTCTAGCTCTTAATATTTCTGAAGAAAAAGATGGCTATCATTCACATTTAAAAATATGTCTTCTTACGTGGAGAAACAACTAGGAATGAATTTGTTAAAGCTCAAATTATAGAGTACTTCAGTTGCCAAAACTTGGAAGGATTTTCACTTTTGCCTAGTGGCACGGGACACTGCTGCCTTTTCAATGTCCTTATAAAGCAGTGCCTCTGGGGGACCAGGGGACTGTGAGCTGCGTTTCCAGGTGTGCTCTGTCCCTTTAATAGCTCCTGACTGTGGTCTCAGTCAAGGCCTCGTGGAACCTTCGGTGACAATGATAATAAACACGCTTCACCCAAATGCTAAGAAACAGAAAGAGCTCAACACTCACAGCTAGGTTTTTTCTCCATAAACTGCCTCTTACAGTAGATGACACAGAGGATGAGCAGGGCCAACAGGACAGTGGCCAGGGCGCTGCAAATTACGGCCGCCAGTGCTGTGTCCCGTGGGCTGGAGGCCGTGGACGGGATCTTCACGAGGTTGACCTTGCTGGTACCTGCAAAACGCAGGAACGGAGTCAGCAGGCTCTCAACAACCCAGGAGACTCGGACGCTTACCCCCATCTTGGTGGCCACCTTTATTAATGGCCTTCATGTGATGTAAGAAAGACCCCAGAAAACAAGAGGAGGTATTTGAAGAAGGCTCAGTGCTCCCTCCTCTTAGAATATTTCTTTAATACCCCAAGGTGTGTGGAGGTGCCCCTCCTCCTTTCCCACAGCACTGTGGACACAAAACTCTCAACACACGGCATTGCCAGGATGTGCTTTTAGGCCGGCTAGACCAGAGCTATTGGCAAGATGGAATTCCTCGTTCTCTGTCTCCCAGTGCTTGACACAGCATTTGGCACATCGTAGGTATGTAATATTTGCAATTTAATTGGAATTAGACTACCTACATTTCAAGCACACTGAATTAAGGGATGCTTTTGGGGGCAACTTTAGGGAAAAATAAGGAGTAGGATCATTCACAACCTAATAGTAACTCCCAATTTCTGAGACAGTAAGCATTTTTTAATGCCTGGCTGTTGAATGACTGAACAACGTCTAAGTTCTAGAGCAAAAACCGAATAGTGCTGCTATTCTGTTGCAGGGCAGCCCAGTAACATGTTCAAGTGTCAAGAAAGACATTCTCTTTTAGAGGGAGGTATTGTGTCATTGTTAAGGGCTAAGATTCTGGACTCTCACTGCCTGGGTTAATCTCTGGATGTGTAACCCTGAGCAATTAATCTCTTGGAGTCTCACACGCACCTCTGTTCTACGGAGGTAGGGAGAGGGCCTGTCTCACCTGGCTGTTAAAAAAAAATGAAATCATGTTTTATCAGATAAAGCATGTAGAACAGCCCCTTACTCAGTGCTCTAGAATCATTAGCTATTGGTTGCTATTACTATTCATGATGATAATAATTAGCACTTAACTTTTTTAGGGTACTGGGAAGAATGAACTCATTTAGGTCAGAAACTATATTCAGTGCAGTCACTTCAGAACCTACTAACTAACCTGAAAAGAATTTGAGAGAGCTTGAACCCTAAAGAGAGGGGCAGTTATGCTTTCTCTTCCTCTGGGTACCTGCCCCCCCTGCCCCCCCCCCAGGTGAGGTGGGCCCTCATCCTCCCCCTCGGACGCTCTCAGCTCCTGAGCACCACTCAGTGGGAGCTCCCCCCACCCCGAGGCTGAGGGTTACTCCAGACCACTGTGGCCTGAGAGAAGCGTAACATGTGCCCCTCATGTAATTTTAAGTTGTCTAGAAGCCACGTTAAAAAAAGAAAAATAAAGAGGAAAAATTAATCTATTTTACCTAACCTAATAGATCTCAAAACATATTATGTATTCATGTATTCAATATGAAAATTATTAATGACATATTTTACATCCTCTATTTTGTACAAAAATTTCAAAGTCCAATGTGATTTCACATTGACGGCACCATCTCCTTTTGGACTAAGCACATTTCAGGTGCTTGTTAGCCACATGTGGCTCATGGCTATTGTACGGACATAACAACTCGAGACGTTAAATGTTTGTATCTATATTTGTGCAGTGTGGGTCCTAAACACAAGCCAACGAATCAGCTGGTACCCTTCTTCTTGTCCCTGGCTACAAAACCCTCCAACCCTGTAAGATTGATTTCCACTGTAAGATACTTGAGGCTAGAACCAGAGAGAAACTTCTGGGTTAGTAATATTGAATCACAAAAATATGATAGCAGGAGTGATCATCTGGGAACATCAAGTCTTGGCATTTCTAGGCTCAGTGATTCTGGGGCCACACTGATAAAAGTTTCTAACTGCCACCCAGAAGGCACCTAAGCTATATGCCTTGGGCTTGGATGATTAGGGATCATAATCCAATCATACATTTTAAAGGATATTTGTTCGTAAACATGTTTAATATTCATAAAAAATAGTTACCACTTATAGCTATGTAGACATCCTATAATCATCAAGCAGCACATACTGAAGTTCATCATACAGCAAGTTAAACAAATTGCATCCCTGACCTAATAGAGATTAAATCCAAATCTGAAACAGCCTCTATCAGTGGACAAATTCACAAGAGGACGTATGAACACAGGCCCAGCTGTACAAACACTGACAAATCAATAACCGAAGAGGAATTTATATCCTGTGCAAGGGAAATAGTTGACTACACCGCAGGGTAAGGGATCTGGGAGATGTAACTCTTATTTCTTTGGACCAAATGGTACAGCTGTGGAAAACTGCCACCTCGCTTATGTTTGTGAGAAAGGTGGTTGACTTCAGAGCAAGATCAGCTGAAAACTCTTCATCAAATAACCCAGCTCCACACAATGCAGGGCTTTAGCAAGAGCTGTTGTCAGAATGAAACAAAGTACATGATTTGAGCTGAAGATCTCAAAGTTCTTAACGCTACTGTAACTATCAAGTTAAGCTCATCAATTCACATAGTATTGGATATTCAGGAAAACCCTACTAAGAATTGGGACTTCGGGTTAAAGTAGAGTCACAATTAGAATCCTTTAAGTTCTTCTTGAACTTCTTTGAAAGTATATTAGTCATCTTACTTACCTTCATATGAAAGGAAATGTTTCTGCTTTATAAACATGCTAAAATGCACCCGATGAGGATTTTGAGTCTGGTGGTTTGTGATTCAGCATTTATTTTCCCCAAACTAATCATAGAAGTCTTAGGAATAAATACCTTTCCATGGTAGGGTACTAATATTGTAATCTCAATGATATCGAGTTGCCATAATAACATCGATTTTTTTTTAAGAGTGCAACTCAGTAAGCCCCTTCTCTATACATTTCCGTGGAAGTAGCATCTGAAGATGAACAAGAAAAATACAGTAGTTTCACCTCTCAACGTTTGACACCTGCATAAGAAAAGGTGTCTTTTTAACTCAGACACCCTCTCAGAGAGGTCTCCATGGGAAGCAGGGCTCTGGAAACCACATTCTGGATTTTTTGTTTATATGTACAAGTTTATGACAACAGTTACAGCAAACAATCTATTTTATAGGAAATGGGCTCATCATTTTTAGGTCATCACATACAACAATGCAGACATTTATGTGGACGTACGCTATGAGAGATAGGGCTGCCTATCTTTCGATTTAAGAACAACCCTAGAAACTTATTCACATAAGTTTCTGCTAAAAGCCTGTTTCCTTTCTGATTTTGATCAAATCTTTTTGATTTGAGTAGTAAAAAAAGCAGGGTGGGGGGAGGAGGAGGTTGGTGCCAATTATATGAAGTGGCTTCTACTCTGTTAAGTTCTGGTTAATTGAGGTATTGCTGAGAATTTCTCAGAAAAAGATTTATCTAGTACAAACTAAAAAGTATTGTTTTGCTGACCTGTGACTGCTGCAGTGATACTGAGATTAAAGATTCTTTCCAGCCACATGCCTCAACTGAATTCCCTGTCCATTGCTGACCAAGTATATTGAATGCCTGCAAGGAATTTTATTCATACCTTATTAGGATTCTGATAGTACTTCTGAAGAATTGGGAACAGGAATGTCCACAGTCTTCGGAAAGTTTTAACTTTTCTGGAATACAAAGGCATCTCTTACCCTAAGTTATTAAATTCCACTATAATCTTAGCACTACCCTCTGGCAAAGTTACTTCAGAGGGAGAACTGTTTTCTTAGCTTAAATTTTATATTACATTAGATAAGGGCAATGTTATATTATACATTTCCTTAGGAGTTCAGCTCAGCGGAACAATCACATACTGAGGATCTACTGTGACTAAGACATCCTACGAGGCATTAAGTAAGTTGAATGAGAATCTGAGTAGACAAAGAAGAGAAAAGAGAGGTCGCCAATGAAGTCTGGCAAGTGTTTTTATACAAGTTCACTTTTACCCTCTTTGGAGTGTGACCAAGGTGCAAAATATCCTAATTGCAGAGATACTCTCTTTATATCTCACCCCCTAAGCAGCTTCAGACTGTAGCTGGAGAGACGCATATAGTGGAGAGATCTGTGTTACTGGACTCTGACGAGTCATGGAAAAGTCTTAGAAGAGGGACCCCAGAGAAGCTGCAAATTAGGAACTCAATGCGCAGGCTTGACTTGACCGAAATGGGCTTCACTAGACGCCTGGACACTGCTCACATACCTCCAGGGATTTCACTCCCTTTATAAGCCGGCAGAGCTGTGAGAATGCACTGATGGCCCTCATTGTATAAACAGGGAAACCAAGACTTTGGGTAGTTTGCTCAAGTCTATACAGCAAAGTGAGAGTGCTCGAGACCTGAAACCAGTGGACTGCACTGGCCCGTGGGTGCACGTAGCTTGTAAGTGAGTAAAACTTTCTGCCAGGGGAAGATGAACAAAATGTGGTCCGTGTCTATGTGCAGGCCATGCTCATTTCTGCAGGGAGAAGCCAGCTAGACCACGGAGAGATCCGGGGACTTTCTGTACAGCAGACCATCCGGGCGTTCATGAAGCCAGTTCCGCACAAGGGCACCTGCCCTGGGAGAGTACTTCAGGGACCCTCGGCCTCAGTGTGGATGTTGGTGTCGCACCTGGTGGCGGGCACGTGGAGCAATGCCTGAGTGTCACTGAGGCGGGGAGGAGAGGCATGTTTACGAAGGCGACTGAGCCTGGGACGGGTGGGAAGCATCAGGCTCCCACGTGCGCTCTGCAAGGTTTCATTGGTAATTCCATAGCTCTGCTTCCTACTGATCTCCCTACATGTTTATCCATGTCAACTTCCTAGCAGGCTGTTTAAAAACCCGCTAAACAGAAGATCCTTCTTGCCAGCATATCCTCCTGACAAAGGGAGGGCTGGCTTGGGAGGAAGGAAACTGGTCTCCCAATTCTAGCTCTCACTACTTTCCACCCTGGTCACGCACAAGACTTTCCCCCTCTCTGAAGCTTGGCTTCCTCATAAAAAAGATTAAGTAGTGGCTCATCATGCAGACACCAAGAGCCACCAACAAAGGCTGAGGGCTCAGTGAAAGTGTCTATTGGGCCAGATGAGCTCCTATGGAGCTAGCTGCCAGGCACACTGG